ATTACAGAGAACTATTGTGTGTTGTACCTACTTTATACATGCACTTTTTTTATAAGGTACCAACAGATACGTTATAAAAATTTTGCTTTCTTGAGAATTCTGTAACAAAAACTAATGGTCAGCAGAGTTATTTTCCCTGTCTATATTTGTAGTTACTGTTTGTTTGTTTTGGAAGGAATTGAACTCAAGACCTTGTGCTCACCAGGAAGGTGCTATGCCACTGAGCTACATCCCCATGTAGTTATTTCTTATATAAAACTTAGAAAAGATATGTTTTCATTGTGTGTGCATTGTGTTGAGGTGATGTAAGCTCAGTTGTAGTTAATCAGTTCTTCATTTGCCTTGGTTGGAATTTCAGTTAAACTCCCCTTCCCATCCATACTCCAAATTTCTTAAGAGATACTGAGGTTCTCCAGGCTTGGAGTATAGCTTGTAGAACACTAGTCTGAGTGTTCTCCTTAGCTGTTACCAACTTTCTTCTGCACACTGACAGAGCATGGACCTGACCTGTACTTCAGGGTAAAATCCAAACTGAGCTTGTCCTCCCAGGCCTATCATCAGCTGTCGCTGTCTGTGCATCTCTGGCTTCAACTGCACCATGCACCGTACATGATTGGTGATACTGCTTAGAATGTCTTCCTTAGTAATCTAGTAGATCTCCAGGTAGAAATTATAAGTTTTCAGGTTCTATGTACAGAATGTTTTTTTAATAATGGTTAATTAAACGATTCACAAGTATCTTTGTAAATCAGAGTGTTTTCATTCAACCTATTTTCCTGTATTAATAGATATTCATAACTAAAACATTGTGAATTTTCATTTTACGAATATTACAATGAGAAAAATCTTTTTCTTGTGTTTTTGATGTGCTGTCTGTGCTTTATGTTCCTCTTAATAAAATCTATTCTTAATAACTTGTAATATCCCTTAAAGAAAGATTTCACTATTTTTTATTGTTGCTCTTTTTTCTATTTGGAAATGGTATTGCACTTCCAATTCCACTTGAAACCTGGAAACCTTTATACCATTTTTGGTGTATCTATAAAGAAATGTATTCTGTTATTGCCGCAAATGAACTTTTAAAATTGTATTGGAGACCAACATTATCAGTGTCATCCATGTATCATAAATGAAATAATAGTCACAGTCCTTTCTGTCAGCATCAGTTCCTAGAAACTGTTTCACAATAAAAGTGTACTATAAACTAGTAATCAAAACAGTATACAACATACTTCAGAGCAATTTTAAGACATACTAAGAACTCAGGTGTGTTGGCACACAGCAGTAATACTCAGGTGGCTGAGGCAGGAGAATCACAAGTTTGAGGCCACCCAAGGCTAAATAATTTAAGTAAGTTCACAGCCAGCCTGCCCTATATAGAAAGACCTTGTCCTTTAAAAAAAGAAAGAAAGAAAGAAAAATATGGTCATAAGATGTTTTCTTCTACCTTGAGTTGTTTTTCCTCATTAAGAATCTCTTCACCAGAATCAGAGAAATTCTTGGATTCTTGTAAGAGAGAAATCCTGGTTTTAAAGTTTAAGCACTATCATAAAATAATCTCTTAAATCAGTGTTTTATATCATATGATATTTTTCATTGGTCAGTATTGCCATATCTGCAAAAGAGTTTTATATAATTCCCAAACAAAATAAAAAACACCCAAAACAAATAACAATTTTAACATTACTAAGCTTGATATCTTGCAGTCATTATCTTCATATTGTTGGTAATGGTAGACTTTTGTGTCTCATTATTTCTTGATCTCTTTGTAAAAAAATACAGATTTTATTTACATAAAATTTCCATCTCATCCATAACTATTCTGTGTAGTTGCATTTAATTTGTTTATTGTTCTATATTGAATAATACATAAATCATGGTCTGTACCTTCAGTAAGTGCTTTTTGAGAAATTGCTGTATATAAAAGCTTGTAATGCTAAGTTCTGTGGGAGATGAAAACATGAGGGAAACTGACACCTGTCTTACTTAAAGGGTGAGAATGAGAATGAAAATGTGGCTGAAGATACTTTCAGAGTTTTTTTAAATTAACCTGATGCAAAGCAGAGCTAATGGTATAAAATACTAATGCTTGCAAATATTTACTAACATCAACAGATTTTAAATGTAAAGGGCTGGCCAAATAACTCAGCAGATTAAAATGCCTGCAAGCAGGCACAGGGGCCAGGGGTTCAATCCCCGGACCTGCCGTTCTGGCCCTGCCCCCAGGGCGTGCTGAGCCGGCAGTTGAGACTGGGGGTGGTGGCGCACACCTGTAATCCTAGCTCTTGAAAGGCTATAAACAGATGGATCACTATGATTCCAATCTAGTAGTGAGACCCTGAACACCATGTAAACCCTTTCCTAAAATTAAAAAAAAAAAAAATTAAATGTAAACATGTAAAATTAACATTAAGATTTATTTTGTTGTGAGGGATATAGCTCAGTGGCACAAGCACCTGCTTGATGAACTCAAGTCATGAATTTGATTCCCAGCACAACAAAAAAGAATGCAAAAGAATTTTGTTAGTAGAAATCTTAATATTTAGTTCAAGTCAAATTAGAAAGACCTGCTCCACCCCCTGGGTGTGCTGAGACTGCCACTAAGACTGAGCACTGTGGTGTGTGCACCTGTAATCCCAGCTCTTGGGAAGCTGAAAACAGGAGGTATGAGTACAATCTATGTAGTGAGACCCTGTAGACCCTATACTAAATACATTTAGAAAAAAAAAAAAGACCTTGCTATATTTTCACTAGAGAATGAAAAACAGGTAAGCACCTAAAAATGGTAGACGCTTTAAAAATTTATAAAGGAAGAAAATAGTTTAGTGGATCTGTAAAGCTAGTGGGGATTAGGGGATCAGAAGGCTGTGGAGAGAAATTGGGGAGGAGAGAGGGTAGTGGTCAGGGGGCACAGAATTTCTTTGGAGGATAATGAAAATGTTCTGAAATTAGGGTCTAATGATATTTGCACAAATAAATATACTATAAATTATGGAATAGTATGCTTTAAATGGGTGGGCTTTCTTGTAGGTTAGTTGCATGTCAGTAAAATTATGTATTAAAAAACTGTCAATAAAGTGGTTTCTAAATGGGAATGGTTTGAACATTTTCTTTCCATTTCCCAGTATCTGTTACACACTTCGGTCCTTCAAATGAGGAAAATAAGAGAGGGAGAAATGGAGGGAAAAACTCCCCCCTGCCACTGCCACCAAAGAGAATAGAAGAAAAAGTGGAAACATAGATTTTGTAAATAAAGAGGGAAGAGGGTAGAAGGGTGGAGAATGGAAAGAAAGAAGGAAGATGTATCATGTACAGATTCAAGTTCTCTTTTTTTAATGCATTTAGTACAGAAGATACAAGGTCTACGGGGTCTCACTATGTAGATCGGACTCGTAGTGATCCTCCTGTTTTCAGCCTCCCAAGCGCTGAGATTACAGGCATGTGCCACCATGCCCGGTCTAAGTTCTCTTTGATGAATGTTATCATTATGTATATGGAAAATGTAATAATAAAAATGATAATGATAGAATAAATTCTGTAAGTGCATATCAAGTGAATAAATACCCATTGCATATTTAGAAAATGAAATAAAATAAAATGGTTATCATTGGGCATAATGGTTCATGCCTGTAACCCCAGCACTGGGGAAGCTGAGGCAAAAGGATTGCCTCAAGTTCAAGGCCAGCCTGGGCTGCACAGTAAATTCACAGCCAGCCTGAACTGCACACTGAAACCTTGCTTCAGAAAGAAGGAAAAAAAGTTTTAGAAATCTGGAAATGGAGCTCTTGCTATTTTAAGAATTCTCTATCTGGAAAAACAAATTCTATGTACTGTGTATAATACTTGAGATGATAAAGAAGACAGAATATAAAGGCAGGACAAAGGACAGCACAGTCGGAAGTTCTGAAAGTGAGATCCTTCAAGTGTGGAATTGCCTGGCAAATAATATTACGTCAGTGAAAGCACTTTGGATTGCTCTTCTTACTGGGTTTGGATCGCTTATGCTTGTGAGCAGCTGTATTAAGCTCTGAGTTGTATCCAGTCTGCTATAAGAAACAGACTAACAGATGACTTGAGTGTCGCATATGTTGCTGTCAAATTAACAAAGTTAGACCCAAGATTTGACAAATTATCAGCATGCATACAGTAACATTAATTATACAAAAGCATGTGAAATACAAACTTACTTTTCAAAGAAAGCTGTATTATTGGGGGGAAAAAAAGTTGTCAGTAAACAAGAACTGATGTCTTTTCCAGTTCTAACTTCAGCTGATTATTAAGGCATGATACTGTGTCATTTGAGCGGATAGAATATTAGGTCTAAACGAACATTTTTTTCAGCTTATGTCTTAAAAATTAAATTGGAACGTTTCCCATTTAATGTGTTTTTAAACACTGAAGGTCAGTACAAAGAATGTAGTAGTACCAGTCATCAGAGGGATGGTTTCCCTCACCACAAGATCTTTGCCTTTACTGTGGATATGCTCCAACTTTTATGTCTACTCTATCCCCACTTGCAGTAAAAACTCTGCTCGGTTGTATTTTGTATTACAGAATGCATTGTGGTGTCTGAGGTAAACGTGGATACTTGTCAAAGTGCAGTTTTATTATTGTTTGCAGTATTTCAACTAATTTCTTGATTTGTTTGTAATTGGGAAAGTTTTTATAAAAATGGAGAGCTACAAATTGCTATGTTGTGGTCTTTTCAAGTAAGTATCATAATGTAGCTCTCCACTTTTATAGCAAAAGCTAGAAACCATTAGCATAGTAATCAATATGTCATAGTTATGGAGATTTTAATGTTATTTTCAGAATTCTGATTTGTTGAGTTCTTGGTCTCCTGCTATTAATTATTTGGCTCCATCTTTTTTCTGTTAATAGTTAAGAATTATTGGAAAATGTCAGTTTTCTAGCACAAACACATCTTGAGTATTTTCAATGGCATTCCACTTTGGTAAGCATTCATTTTTTTTTTTTTTTTTTTCATTTTATTCACTTAGTGTCCACTTGGCAAGAAGAGTGCTTCAGTTAGAAAAACAAAACTCGTTGATTTTAAAAGATCTGGAACATCAAAAGGACCAAGTAACACAGCTTTCACAAGAGGTAAATAACTTAAGCAGAAGAAAGACATATAAAGAAATATAGTGTTCATTTTAAATCTCTGTAATTCCTTTATTTTATGAGTATTTTTTTTTTAAAAAAGGCATTTGTACAAAATGATTTCACAATTCATGAAACTAATTGTTAAGGTCCTATAAACAACTTACAGTGTATGGAAAAGCTCAGAACAAGAGCAAGATTCAGTGCTCAGACTGAGTGTAAGTGCGAGCTAGACAAAGCTTAGATTTCTGAGAATATCAACCATCAAAACAAGTTGGACAAATTTTGGTGAGTTTTTTTTTGTTGTTGTTGTTTTTTACTGATACCTTACTTTTTAAATACTTTCTTTAAATTTCTCTTCAGTAGAAAGTTACTTATTAAGCACTTAAAGTTAGTTTACCCTTAGAAATTGTTTCACATTCATTCTCTTTTCCTTTCCACCTTACAGTCCATTATTTAAAGAGCACATATTTTACATTGCATTTTTAGCTCCCTCATTAATATCCATTTTTCTTTTGACATTTCAGCCCATGAAACAATTAGAACCAAAGCTACCCCCTTACTAGTGTTCTTTTTATTTTCTGACCTTCAACATAAGTTTTTCTATGTCAATATTTTAAAACTTATAGGGGCCGGGGAGATGGCCCAGTGGAATAAGCGCGTCCCTGGCAAGCGCAAAGGCCTGAGTTCAATCCCCGCTTCCGCCCAAAAAAAAAAAAAAAATTAATATATACCATATATTCCTTGATTTCCTAAGGACCTGTTCATATTTGTCTTTGTATTATCATATATTAAAGCACTTTTATTATGACATTAAGAGGATCTCTATCCTGGTTGTTTTGTTTTTAATTTTTATGTATTTGGTATAGGGTCTCACTATGCAGCTCAGACTTGTAGTGAGCCTCCTGTTTTCAGCCTCCCAGCACTGGGATTACAGGCATATACCACCATGACCGCTTTCATGGCTGGCTAAGCGCATCAGGGGTGGGGCCACCGCAGCATGCAGTCCTAGAGATCGAACCCTGGTCCCTGTGCTTGCCTAAATAGGTGTTTAGTTCGCTGAGCTATCTTGCCAACCCTCTATCCTAAGCTTTTTTAAGAAACAAGTATTTCATATTATTACAGTGCCCAGCATGACTTACTGCTCAGGGTGAATAACAGTCAGCCAGCTTTCCGAAAGGGGTGTGAGGGAAGACTGTCCTCTGTCGCATGTGCTTGTGTCTGTGGCATGCAACTGATACAGGCTGCCTAATAATGTTACTGGATATAGATAAGAGCAGAAGTTGTCAGCAGCATACCATTACATAATGTATGTACCATATGCATAAAGTGCACATTTGTAAACTAAATTTAAGTGTATCTACAGGAAATAATGAAATAATTCAACACTGATGAGCTTTTAAAGATTTGTTCCCTTGTTTTTATTTTATTTTTTTTTAATTATTTTGTTTTATTTATGTGTGTGTGTGTGTGTGTGTGTGGCCAGCTCAGCCCACCAGGGGGCAGGCTGGCTGGCATGTGGTGCTGGGGATTGAACCGCGGTCCCTGTGCTCTGCCAAGCTTGTTCTAAGTAGGTGCTTTAGACCACTGAGCCATCTCACCAGCCCCCTCCCTTGTTTTTAATAAAATTGATTTATCATAATTTTTTTTTAATTATGGTTACATTTAGCAGCCAACTCATTTCCTAAAAAGTTACTAGTTAACCAGGCATGGTAGTGCACATCTGTAATCCTAGTACCTCAGAGGCTGAGGCCAGAGAAGTACTGAGTTTAAGGCTAGACTGGGATACATATGGAATCTAAGCCCAGGCTGTATGTAACAAGACCCAGTCTCGAAAGAAAGAAAAAGAGAGAGGGGGGGGGGGGAGAAAAAAAGAGAGAGAAAGAAGAAAAGAAAAGGAGAAAGAGAAAGAAAAAACAATTTCCAGTTACTTTCATGAGCTAGTATAAGCTGATTCCAGCTCAGTACTGTATAGAAGCACAGAAAGATCAGTACAGAAGCAGATGAACCTTTGGCCAGGTACTGTGGCTAGTAATCATAGCCAGCTGAGAGGCTGAGACTGGAGGGTCATGAGTTCAAGCCCAGCCTAGGTGGCATAACAAAATCCTGTCCCTCCCCCACAAAAAATTTCCCCTAAATAAACTTTTGCTTGCTAGTATAGATCTCTCATATTGGTGGGGGGTTTTGTCAAAGACAGGGTTTCACTGTACAGTTCAGGCTGGCCTTGAATTCACTTTGTAGCCCAGACTGACTTTGAACGTTCAGGGATCCTCCTACCTCAGCCTCCCAAGTGCTGGGATTACAAGCCTGCACTACCATACCCAGCTTCTCATACTGGTTTTAATTTTATATAACCTATCAAAATACTTTTACAAAATAAAATATTAAATATATGCTTGCATATTTATGCATCTTTATATTTTTTAAAACATTTCCAGCCTCTCTGGGCTCTTCAGCTAATGAAATAAGAATTTTTATGTGTGTATACACTCTCATATAAGTTGTTAGGGGAAAGAAAATTAAGAGCATTTATAATTTATATGAAGCAATTTTAAAATAAACTGTGGCTTATATTGGGGAAAAACCTTAAATACTTTAAATATTGAAATATTTGTGATGTGAAATAGAATGATGGCTAGAATTTGCCTTAAAATATTCCATGGAAGCCCAGCCAGATAGCTCAGTGGACTAAAGTGCCTGCTTAGGCAGAGTATAGCAGCCATGGTTCGATACCCAGCACCACAAGCCGTGCCGGCCCTCCCCCATGGCATGCTGAGACAGGGACTGAGACTGGGAGTGGTGGCATGTGCCCATAACCACAGCTCTTGGGAGGTTGAAAACAGGAGAATCACTACAAGTCCGATCTACATAGTGAGACCCTGTACTTGAATACAGAAAGAAATAAATAAATAAGTAAAAATAGAGATTAAAATTGCCACAGGATCTATGCTTTGGAACAGGTTGAATGTTTTTTTTTTCTTTTCAAAGTTTTATTGATAAAACATATAGCAATGAGACAGTTTCAAATCAAATCGAAAGTACAGTTTCAACAAATAATACACTGCATATATTCTTCTTAGTGGTTAATTGCTGTACAACATGCAGACTTGTGATCCTACTTACAAACACCATTAGAAAAAATCATTCTATTCATTAAGAGAATGCAACTATATATCTATCCCAACCACTCTGAATACACAAATACAAAATGGACATTCATAGTTATACCCCATTTTTTTTAAGTTCCGTTATTGAATATTATAGGTGTGTAAACTCAGCAAAATATTCTAAAAGAGTCCAGTAGCCCATAATAGCATTGGGTCTTCTGTTTAACTGACAATGTCAGAAATTATTGACCTGAGTCCCCCACAGCTCAACATAACAACATGGCTTTACTTCCTATATTTCATCTTCATACTTCTCCACTGGATGGTTAAGACCAAGGTAAAGCAGGACCTATGCAACAAGAGTTGTAGCTTTTTGATCTGAGAAGGTCAGTGAAATGCCCTCAGGATTTATGCTGAGATCCTGTACCTCAGATTGTAGAACCTTTGTCAGTGTCAGCCATGTGGATGAGTCACGGCCAGTGCTTGACCAATGTGCTCTCTGTGAAAGCCTGAGAGAGTGTCTTCTCTCCATGTGACTCTCCTTAGGCACACTCTACGTCATCGATCACTTTCCTCTTTGGCCCCATAATCTTCTTGATCAGAAAATTTGGGACACTACCGAGGTACATGACGTTACAGTACAAGTTCTCATATGTCCTGAGTCTTAATTGACCTTAGAGGGCTAGGGCCAAAATGTTGGCTTTCCTTGTAGCCCTCCTTTTTCTCTAATTTTGGTCTGCAAACTTAGGTTGTTAACCATCCAGAAGACAAGCTCATTGTTATTATCAAACGATTTAGGCTATCAAGCTTAACCTCACTACAGGTTGAATGTTTAAACTTGGACATAATGAGACATAATGCACAGATACAACTCATAGCTAATTTTAGACATACAACTGAGTCATATGCTATTTGGATTATGGCAGTGATTATGCATAAATGGGTTGCCAAAATGAAAATGCTATGTAGTACTCAGAATGAAGAAACTTCCTTTTTTAGCAGATTTTTGCAGTATAATCAGTACACACTTGGGCCAGGTATGGTGGCACACACCTGTAATCCCAGCACTCAGGAGGCTGAGGAAGAGTCCCACTGTGAGTTTAAGACCAGGCTAGGTTACATAGTGCGTTCAAGGCCAATCTGAACTGTATAACAAGGTCCTGTCTTTAATTATATGTATACATAATTGCTTCAAAGAAGAGTGGCGTACCATGGCAGAAGGGCATGACAGAGGACATGTTCACCCCATGGCAGCCAAAAAACAGAGCAGTATACTCTTTTAGGTTCTGCCCCACTGTGACCCTCCTCCAGCAGATCCCACTGCAAGAAACACCTTCAGCCATGGATTTCTCAGTGGATGAATCCATTATGAGTACAAGACTCCCAGGAGCCTGTCACCTTCCAGAGTTCCCATCTCTGGGTGCAGGATGCTTTGGGGGAGTGTTTTAGGTCTAACCCCAGCATACTTTGTGTTGTACTCTTTTTTTCCAGTATCTTCATTCTGACTAATTATTTCAGAATTTACTTATAATTCACTTCCTTCCATTCTACAGTATAGATGTACTTCAGTTTATGTATTCACTTGTTGATGAACCTTTGGGTCTTGCCACCCAAACAAAGCTGTTATACATACCTACGATCAAGTTTTTGCATGGGCATTTGCTTTAGTTTCTCTTTGGGTAAATATAGAAATTGAAATAGATCTTATGTAGGTGTTTACCATGTTAAGAAACTGCCAAATTGTTTTCCAAACTGTTAGCACCATTTCACATTTCTGTCAGAAGAGCCTAAATTTACAGTGCTCCCACTTCCTTGCCTTGATATGGCCAGTCCTTTTCATTTGATCCACTCTAATAATAGTGGGTATAAAGTAGCATCTCACTATGATTCTTAATT